AATTCAGCATTTCAAAATGCTTCTATTATAGTCTCCTCAAAATTCTGCATCCAAAGCAGCTTCAAGGCTGCTGGCTGAGATGGTGCAGCCTCATGGACTGCTTCAGCCCATATTTCATTATTATCCTAATTTTCTGAAGGTTCCCCCAAAGATACCAGCACCTCCAGACAACAAGAAGTAGTCTAGAGAAAACAACACCCACATTCCCAAAAGAAGGGTTATGGATGTTATTACCATTGAAGGGTGTTGGTTACAAATTGTTATTGGTCATAGTCAGGAAAAAGGCTTAACAAAAGAGTTAAATTCAAAGATCTCTTTCTAAAGGAAAAAAGGGAGATATGATATTGAAATAACGAGATAAAAGGATAGATTATTGAATCTACTTTAGTATAAAAACAACTCTTAATTTCAAAATATTCTACATTGTTGTGAATTTTGCTTTATTAATACAAATTTAAAGTTAATTTTGTTATACTGTATGTGTGTTTATACTCTTGCTTGGTGTATTGTTCTTATGCAGCTCATTTAAACATGTAATGTATAATAAAAAATACAGGTTTGTAGTTAGTCATCTATAATAAACTTGTCATATTATGTATGTTTTCAAGGTTAAACAGATATATTTAGATAGATATATGACCTTCAAACACTTCAAAGACCTACAGAATATGGTAATCAAAATATTTTAATAACATAAGGCTTTCCTTGACAGTGAGGTACATCTCCTCCTGGCAATACCAATTTATTTCAAAAGATGATGATGGGCATCAAATAACCTCCACATAGAGTTTACTTCTTTTTTTGGCAAAAGCTAACCATTTGGGCAAAGAGACTGCCCTTGCTTCAGTTGCTGACAGTATACTGTCCAAACTAGACCAGCAGGATGCAAAAGAAAATAACTGCCAAACTTTGCTAAGACAAGATAGGACAGGCCTTCAAAATTCCCTGCTTCTCAGAAATGTCTGTCAACTATATCAGGCCTGTAGGCCAAAATCAGATGTTTCAACATTAAAGGAGAACCTAGGGCAATTTACCAGGCAGCCAGATGTCCCTGTCATTAGGTAGCATGACAAAGAAGCAAAAGACCTTCTGGGGTCTTTAATGGAGTTAAAGACTAAATAATTAAACTTAAAGCTTTCCTTAATTATGATAAAAAGGTAAAATAGACTCACAAAGATAAGATAGGTAATAGAATATTTTCTCTGATTTTGCCAAATACAAATGGAATGGATATTGTAATGGTAATTCTTACTTGATAACAGTTTTGTTGTTTATAATTTTACTGTGTCGAGGTTAAAACCCTCCTTTTTATTTAAACAAGAAGGGGGAAATACTGTGGCATAATCTTTCTGAACATTGCACAAATTACACTGTGATTGGTTTAATAAAAAATTTGGCCAATAGCTGGACAGGATAAAGTTAGGCAGGAAAATCAGACTAAGGACCCTAGAAAGAAGAAGCAGGAAGTCTGAGGAGTCGCCAGCCAGATATGGAGAGGAAACAGGAGGTGCAAATTGAAAGAGAGGTAATGCCATGTGGCAGAATGTAGAATAATATAAATAGGCTAATTTAAGTTAAAAGAGCTAGCTAGTAATAAGTCTGAGCTATGTGCTGAGCTTTTATAATATTTATAATTAATATTGAGTCTCTCTTTTGGTTATTTGGGAAATGGCCTGTCTATACTTCCTATTACCCAGAAATGTGAACTAATTATTTCAAATAAAAGACTGACAGTATAAAATAGATTTAAAAATCAGGAAATATAGTTTATATTTAAAATTTGTACCAATCTCCTAATATAGAAATAGTGTTTTATTTTAAAAAATATGACATGTACTGATCACACAACTAAGCATTGTTCTTATAATCTAAATGTGAATGATCTTTCCATACAGAAAAGTCATTAAACTATGCTTCTATGTTTTTAATAAAGTTTAACTTACCATTTATTGACAAAACTCTTGTTTATCTTTGTGAATAACATCTTAAGAAATTTTACTTGAATATTTTTCTGTACATCACTAAATACCCCAAATCATTCACTCCTTTTGCCAAATGTCCAACATCATTATTTTTGCCTCATCATAGTTATCTACTAAAACACTAATGGGGTGGACATAAAAAAATTAAGAAAAGATGAAACAAAATCATAAACTGCACAAGGAACAGCACTCAACATTTCTTAGTTATTTTAATTAGATAAATAGTGTCATAATAAAATGTATAAAGACTAATTAGATTTCTAATTTATCTCAAACCCAAAATTTAGCCTTTAAATAATTATTTAATACTGTATAATATACTGAAATTTAATCTCTATGAAGACTATGTCCATAAGTCCACTGATTAATTATTTAAACTACTATATTTTATTCAGTGCTTAACACACATGAGACATTTAACAAAAATATTTGTAAGTCCACATAAATTGCTGTTGGTCAGTGAGGCTGCAGATGTACCAAAACATCATCAACTATTGCCTTTGCCCTTGTTTGCCGACCATCGCTCTAAAGAAAGATGCTGTTGATGAATAAACAGCATACCTTGGTTTCAGGACACAGAGAAATTGACCTCTATTTAACTGGGGAACTTCTTCCTATTCAATAGCATTCATGTTGCCAAAATGTTCACAGGGCACAGTGGAAGAAAAGACTTCAGTGTTCTTACTCATCTCTAGATCCTGATGGGAAAATACAAACTTACCTGGCAAGATGTATCTACTACTGTAATAATGGCATTACACTGATAGGGCAAGTAACTATATTCTGGATGCTTTTCCATGGAGGAGAATTTGTGCTTGATACTGTAATGCTGGTTAAACTTCATAGCAATTTGAATAGTTTAAGAGTTTCATATCTTATCTAAGGTATTTTTCTTTTTTAATTTGGAGGGTTTTTTTTCAGGATGAGATATAAGGTTTTAATATCATTCTTGTCCATGTAGGTATCTAGTTTTCCCAACAATATTTGTCTGATATTTGATCTTTTGTCCACTATACATTTTTTTTTGGCATTTTTGGTGAAAATCAGGTCACTGTAATTTTTTGAGTTAATAAAAAAATCTTTTATATTTTCTTTATTTTCATCTTGGCAAGCATTGATGCCATTTTCATGGTGCTTTATTACCATGGCTCTGTAGTGTAACTTGAGCTTATGTCTAACAACCCAAGGAGCATTTTTCTTTTTGCTCAGGGAAGCTTCAACTATCTTTTGCTTCCCAATTGTTCTTGTTGGGAACCATTGCTATGTGATTGGTGATTTCTTGGGATAGTATTATTCTAATATTGTTTGTGGTTTTATGATAGATTTTGGCTTCCAGAGTTAGGCTGCTGGTTGGATTTTTTAAAAATAAGTTTTTAGACCATTTGGCTGAAGTCCCAAGGGAGGACAGTGGGGTTGGAGGTTTAGTGAGATTTTTGGAGCAAAGTGAACAGAATAATAGGAGAGGTAGAACTGCATCCAGATCTTGCCATCTGTATTCAAGGCTTAACAGGGTCCTGGTACAGGGTGGGTTGAGCAATGATGGGGCATATTGGACAGAGAGTTGGTGGAGAGTGTCTTGGGTGAAGTGTGTAGAACTTCAAGAGTCAGATTTTTTACCACTTCTGGCCATGTGGGATGGGGCCTTGAAGAGTTTGTTATACAATAGGTACCTCCTTGAAGAGTTTGTTATACAATAGGTACCACTGCAGGAGACCCATTTCCATTACATTTAAACAATGCTCTACATTTCAAAATTACTTGAACAGGGGTGGGTTCCAATGACTTTTCCTGCATACATATACACAAAATCACTGGTAACTTTAAAAAGTCCAATATGTTCATTAGCTTGATTATGGACATGATTTCATGGAGTATAAACATATCAAATCATTGTTCTTCACCTTAAATATACACACTTTTAATTCACTAATTGTAGTTCAATAAAGGTATAAAATTGACTAGAAGAAGTGACAATTCAAATAAACAAACATAAAGAAGTCTAACTTTTATAAATAGAAATAACTAAAATAAAAAGTAGATGAGTGAAATAAGGGAACAATATAATAAAGATTCCCAGAGACAGAAAAAAACTCTCTTTCTCTGTCTTATCTTTATTTGTCTATCATTCTCCACCCTACATCCTGTTTTTTTTTTGGGTGTATTTATTTTTGAAGAACTGGCTCAACTAGTCATGTTATTTGTGGGGGATGCCACAAATCACTTGTCAGATTAAGTATGTTGAATACCGAGGGGAAAATTGACATAGTTGATGTTTGGAGCTCATGAGTTCCAAGAATATCTCAAGGCAGAGTTCCACCTTTTTTTTCCTCTTAGTAGATTCAAGTGAGAGACTAAAGATTTTGCTTTATAGATAGTCATGAATTTTACTCAAAAATCTACTGACCAAAATGCTAATTTCACCTAAAAAAATCCCACAGAAACACCAAGGCGAGCATTACAAAATAGACGATTACTGGGGTTTAACAATATACACATGTAAAATTAACCAAGTCAAATTTGAATCTTTCCAAAGTTTATTTCAATCAAGAATTTTATTCATAGTGGCCAGAAACTGGAAACAATCTAAATGTCCCTCCACTGAATAATGGATAAAGCAAATGTGATACATTTACATAATGGAGTATTACTAAGCTGTTAAAAACAATGACATCATGAAATTTGCAAGGAAATAGATGGAACTATAAAAAATCATCATGAGTGAGGTAACCAGACCAAGAAAGAACAACATAGAATGTACTCATTTATAAGTGGATAGTAGTTGTGAAATAAAGGGTAATCATTGCTATGGTCCACAGACCCAGAGAAGTTAACAAAGAGGTCTTAAGAGTGGACAAAAGAATGTCCCTGGAAGGGGAAATAGAAGAGATTTCAAGTGTGGGCTGGGAGCAGGTGATGTTGGAAACAGGAGGGATCAATTGAGGGGTGAGAGAGAGAGAGAAAATACTGGAAGAAATGACTAGAATTGGGGGACATTTCCACCAGGGGCAAGGTGGAAACCTAGTGCAATGGAAACTCCATGGAATCTATAAGACTAACCCTAGCAAAGAATCCTAGTAATGTGGTGCACAGAGCATGAACCATCTGTCTTCCATAACCAGGCAAGGCCTCAAGTGGAAGTATTGGGACACCAAGCCAACCACAAAACTTTTGTCTTATAGTTTGTTCTGCCTGCGAAATATTCTGGGACCAGAGGCTAGAGAACCCTCATCAAAGAGACCAGAGAGACTTCATCCAGCGACTGATGGGAGAAGATGCAGTCCCACAGAAAATATTAGGCAGACCTTGGGAAGTCCTGTGGAAAAGGGGGAGGGAGGATCTGAGAAGCCAGAGGCATCTGGAACACCACAGGAACAGGGCCCACAGAGTCAACTGACTGGACTCATGGGTTCTCACAGAGATCAGGGAGCCTCTAGGTCTTCTGCATATATATTATGACTGAGTAGCTTGGTGTTCTTGTGGGATTCCTACCAGTGTGAAAGGGGGCTGTCTCTGACTCTTTTGCCTACTTATGGGGCACTTTTTCTCTTACTTGATTGCCTTGTCCAGTCTTGATGTGATGGTATGTGTGCCTGGTCTTATTGTAGCTTGTTATGTGGTATTTCATTGATGTCTCTGGGAGGCCTACTCTTCTCTGAGCAGTGGCAGGGGGTTGGGGGTTGGGGGGTGAGGGGCAAACTAGATCTAGGGGAGAGAGATTAGGGGAGAGAGATTAGGGGAGGGGAGGAAGGGAAAAAAGATAGAAATCCTGTCTTTATAATATTTTTGACAATAAAAATAAGTGTAATTTTGTAAAATCATAGAAACAAAATCTCCATGGGAGAATGTGTTAAGAAAGATGTTAGGTCCATTTCAATCTCAATCATTTTTCTCTAAATCTTCATTCTGTAATTCCCTTCTTTCCTCCCTCTTCTTCTTCCTGCCTTTAACTTCTTCCCTTCTTCCTCTCTATCATTTGTTTGCTGCTATCTCTGTCTGTCTACATTTGTTGTAATCAATTACTTGCTAGGTACTCAAATTTTAATGATTGTCTAAAAAAATTCATTTAAATCGACTTGCACAAATAAGGATCATGATAATGTTCAGTATTGCAGTAGTTTGTAATCAGATTTTTCTTTGGGCCACCAGCTCACAAATAATGACACAGAGACTTATTGATTACGATAGCTCAGCCTTAGTTTAGGCTTGTCCCAATGGCTCTTATAGCTTAAATTAACCCATATTTTTATTAATCTGTGTTCTAGATTTTACCTCTCTCTCATTTTGTGTGTCTGACTTGTTCCATGTCTTCATGGTATCTCCTGCGCACCTTGATTATCTCCTCTTCCTCTCTCTGCCTGTAACTCCTGCCTATCTCTCTTGCCTAGCTATCCTTTGTTCAGCTTTTTATTACACCAACCACAGCATCTTCACACAGTGTACAAATATTCCACAACATTTCCCCCTTTTTGTCTAAATAAAAAGGAAAGGTTTTAACTTTAACCTAGTAAAACTATATATGATAAGAAAAATTATCAGGTAAGAATTATATTCACAATATTTAATCCACTTATATCTGGCATATTCAGAGAAAATACTCTATTATCTGTCTTATCTTGATAAATTTATAGTTTTATACCTAAACCATTTTCTATCATAACTTATATTACTATCCTAAAAATATCTTTCTCAACCTTAAAACATCTTTTTAGATAAACTACTTAAGCTTTTATGTTTTTCAACCTTATAAACTTCACATCTATTACATAAATTACTTTTCTGAATTTGGTAAAATGAAAAACTAAAAATATAACTACTTAGTCTTCAACCCCATCAAAGATATGAGAAGGATATCATATTGCTCGAGAAAGCAGAAAGTTCAGAGAAAACAACTTCAAAAAATATAGAAATGACAGAGACATCTAGCTGCCTGGACAGTCACCCAAGTTTCCTCTGCCAGTAACAAGAAGTGGTCCATATGAGGATTGGTAAGGTAATGATGAGCATAATAAGTTGATGCATCAGCACATAAAAATATCTGATTGATCTCTATTGACTTTGAAGAAACCCATAGCTTTTCTTCACTTCCTATGGAAACAAAAGCAAAAACACATCCCCAGTGTAATACATATCCTGGCTTCCATTCTGAGGTCAACACATCTTTAAAGGATATAGCCTGATTTATCAGTAGTTTTTTCTATTATCCAATGTCTCTCAGCAGCTTTTGTTCCTTTCTCATCAGCATTTAAAAATTTAAAGTCAACAAAGTACCACATAGGATCCAGATGCCCTGTGTATTTCCCATCCTTATGTGGCTTATTCTTTTTCTCTTACTTTACTCTTTGTTTAAAAATTTTACCATTATTTTTTAATGATTTTTTTCTATGACTGTCTATGCTCATTTTTTACTGTATCTGTATAAAGTGTTTTCTCAGTTTGGACCATTTTATTGCTGACCTGCAGCCTTCTCTCCCAACATGAATCAAGCCTTAAACCCGCTAAGGGATCCACATATGGTGCTAGCTGGTTCAAGCCTACAGGCAGCAGCTGGGAGTTGCATCTCTGTACATCATGGCCTGCCTGAGAGACTGTGGGACGAGGAAGCCATGTCTGGCTCCATGTTTGTGTGTTTGGAACTTTTAAAAAACACTTTCTCAGGTCCTATGTGGAAATATGTGCCCCCACATTGGATGCCATATGTAACTGGACTTTTCTTTGGCATGCCAGCTTACAAAGAATGACATAGAGACTAATTATTAATTATGAAAGCTCAGCCTTAGCTTAGGCATGTCCCACTAGCTCTTATAACTTAAATTAAACCATATGGGTTAATTTAGCTATCTTCTATCATGTGGCTTTTATCTTGCTCCTATTTTGTGTGTCTAACTCATTCTACATCTTGATGGTGTCTTCTTCAACCCATAACAGTGGTTAATGACCTTTCAGTCTTTCAGTCTGTACCAGTTCTTCACAACTGCTTTTTCACTCCTTGAATTTGATGAATATTCCAGATTATTTGCCCCTATGACCATTCAACTCCAGTGATATATTATTGAGTCTATCTAGTATTTTTCAGATTTCTCTTTTGTGCATAATTCCTATAGAAGGTCATTAGATAGAGAATCTAAATTGAATATGCTAGTTAATACTTACTTTATATATTTTCCTCACATAATATGGATCATGATCCATGTGTTCAGTTGCCTGCTTATCTTTCTCTTACAAATGTTATTGTAAAACTGTTATCTAATAATTTTAGTTTGTATTGTTTATAGTTATTAATTTTCTAATCTCATGATTACAAATTTGAATTACAAACTTTAATTTTCCTATAATATTTATTTCTGAACTATGTAATTACCTCTTCTCAAACTGAAAATATGAAAGAATACATGCTTGATTCTGTCTTCCTTTTTAATAATCACATTACAGAATATTTTGGTTTTGTTATATTTATTGCAAGAACCCAAGAAGTTTCAGAATATTTAATAAGCTTACCAGTTTCCATCAAAGGAAAAGAAAGTCATTTTTAATTATTTTTATTATAATTTTATTTAACATTTATTTATTTATGTATTATTTATTTATTTATTATTTTATTTTATTTTTGTTTTTTTGAGACAGGGTCTCTCTGTGTAACCTTGGCTGTTCTGGAACCCTCTCAGTACACCAGGTTGGCCTCAAACTCACAGAGATCCATTTGCTCTGCCTCCCGAATTCTGAGATTAAAGGTGTGTGCCACCACTGCCTGGCTTTCATTGTTTTATTTTGACAATCATTTTGTGAATATTTTTATATACTAATGCTCATCATTGCCTCACTGATCCTCATATGGACCATTTCTTGGCAGAGTATTTTAGTTTTTTTCCAGTGTTATTTTAATTTTATAGTAAGAATTAGGTTCCTTTAACTGTTATAGGAAAAATTGTTTGGATCTGTGCGTGGTAGTACATGCCTATATTCAGCACTTGGGAGTGTGAACTAGGTATATTTTCATAAATTTGAGGTAGTATGGGCTACATGATGAGTTGTAGGCCAGTCTTGATTACATGGTATGATACTCTGTTTCAACAAGTAAAATACAGAAGCTACAGATTAATCTTGCATGTTTATGGTGCAAACCTAGAATCAAAAATTTACCCAAGAATTGAAGTTTTTTTCAGTGGCAAATAGTGCTTGATAACAACACAAAGATATTAGATATGATTTTCTTCTTTTCAGACTCAATAAATTTTTTTTGGAGGACACACTTGAGAACTTATATTTTATTAAAATAAAATGATATATTTATAATTAAAATTAAAGAAAAAATTTTCATTATTTTAGTTCTGAATATTTTTACTATTAGTATTAATGTATTTACTTATTTGTCTTATTCAAATAAGTGTTTTTAGAAAAGCAAAAGTAATATTATCAACTTATAGACAGTTTAACTCTGCATGTTTTTTATTTAGTGAATTGTTTCTTTTCATTGATATTGTATCACTTATGTGAAATATCATTAAATCATGCACTTTGTTGACACTTGGTCTTTCAGAGATTGCAAAATGCTTTTTATTTTACTTTTAATATTAATTTCTGGAAAATTTCATACAATGATCATTCATAGCCCTTTCTCCATGAGTCCTCCCAGATCCACTCTCCTTTTCTAATCTATCCAAGAAATTGTAGGGTTTTTATTTTCATATTTTTTAAATTATGTACATGTATATATGACTGTATGGCATTATGTGCTCATGTGGGCAGGTACATTTGGAGAGCAGAAAAGTATCAAATGGCTGGAGTTGCAAGCCATGAGCTGCCTGACATTGGTTCTGCTAAGTGAACTCACTTCTTCTGGAAAAGCAAAAAGCATCCTTAACTCCTGAGCCAACTCTGCATCACATGAACTTGGTAATTTTTCAATTGATTTAATTCTGTAGTGGTGTGTGTGTGTGTGTGTGTGTGTGTGTGTGTGTGTGTGTGTGTGTGTCTGTGTGCGCGTGCTCAATACAGAGGCTGATGTGTGTGGAACTGTGTATGCATATGTGCATATGTATGTAAGGGTCATAGGACACATCTGGAGGCATTCAGCTTGGTTTTTGAAACAGTGTCTCTTATCCACTGTTAACTTAGGTTGTCTGGCTAGTGATCCCCAGAGCTGGGAACAGACGCATATACCATTAGGTTCAACCTTTCCACATGGGTTATAGGAGTTGAATTCAGGTAGTTGCGCTTGCTTGGCCAGCATCTCCCTAGTGCTAATCACTTTATTTTGAATTATGTAAAACAGCTTTGATTCTCAAGTCAAATTATAAAATAAGTTAAGTTAAGACTAGTTTATAACTTTCCTTATTCTTGCTGATGAAAACAATTTCATCATTTAAAATGCTTTATTAAATATTCATGAAATCACACATGTATGTATCTGTGTTTTAACATAAACTTAACATTCTATAGAGACACTTTGACACCTTATTAATATCACCTAATCTATGTCTTGTAGATTGCTCCAGTGTAGTATTTGGAGAAAAAAATTGTTTTGCAGTTGTTTACTATTCCATGATTGTAACTTAAGCAAAGAATTGTTACTGATCTTTATTTCAGTATTATTTCATCATTTTTCATTTATTACTTTATCATTTGATGTGATACTTTTGATATCTGTAGTTTTGATAAGATAGCTCTTGGATAGAAGTAAAACTACATTCCAGATTAGTCCCATGTTATTTTTTGGCCACAGACATGAGTTCCTCCATTGTATGTTCTCACCAAGAGTACAGTTAGCAATTTTTCTTTCTCTATGGCTCCATTCTTAGTTTGTACTATTAAATATTGAGACCATGTATCTCATAAACCAGGACTAACATTACCATATAATTTTATATGCATGTATTTTTAGCATGAAACAATTTAATCATTTTTCTTGTAAATACAGTTTTCATCTTACACATAAACTGTAAGATTATATGTTTGCCCAATTTTCTATTAGATTGTTGAGTTCATGAAAGTTATATATATAAAATAATGGCTGTTCTTTAAATAATAAAGTTATTACTCTTGGTGTGCTCTTAATTCTCTCATCTTTTTTAGGTAGTTTAATCTAACTTTAAAATTAATTATGTATATTGTTATCAGAAAACTTTATTACATTTATGAATTATAAAGATATTAACTCAATTTAAAAATATTTGTATCGTTTTTAAACAGATTCATGTCTTGAGTTTATTTAGAAATTATTCTCTGAAATGAAGACTACATTCAATAACTCATGTTCCACATTACCCCTGTTATTCCACTAATTTACAAATAACTCCTTTGTTTTATCACTGCTTAAATCATATGTAAGCTTTTGATGTGATTATTATCTTGATGGATATTTGTACTATTTTTTCACTCAAGTAGACACTATTTCAAACCCTTTATTATCTCCAATTCCATTTCTACTCATTCATTCATTCAGATTACAAATCATTCAGCTATGTTGCTTGTTCCTCAGAATGTGTGACATTCAACTTTAGCCTGCTTCCATGACAACCACTGGAAAGGTAAAAGAGTTGGCAGAAACATTTGTTATTTTTTAAAAACTTACAGTTTTCTTTACTTTTGTCCTGGCCTTTAGAATTCCTCACTAGAATTGAAGAGTATGTGCACATTAGTATGCATACAAATACACATTTGCACATAAATGTACACATTTTAATTATAAATATAATGTTCCAAATAAACATCTGCTAAGATCAGAATGTGTAATGTCCCTGTAGAGAGTTGTAAAATACTAAAGCTTGAAAACTCTTGATTATGTTAACATAAAGCAATATTAACATGGATATTATAATACAACAAAATATTCACTTAGTGGTGAATATGTAAACATGTTTATATTGTCTTATGTATCTGTACTATTTCATTGCTTCTCATAATAACTGTATGTAATACATACCATGATCTCCTTTTTACTAATGTGAAAACCAAGCATTACAAAAGGAAAATTAGCAACCATTTATACTCATGTTTAGTAAGGCTTAAGTGGAATTGAACCTGTGTCTTTTGACTTTAAAATGGAAAATGAAAAATATATATAAGTGATATACTTTGTGTCAACATGGTAAGAGGCTGGAAGATTCTTAATTCTTTTTACAGGTTTTTGAATAACTTGAAGGCAAACAATATTGGAAAGTTTAGTCCTTCTAACAAACCTGATAATGAGCTAATAGATTATGGTTTGTTATAGTAGTAGGAGATATGGTTACTAAGTAGGAATATCATTTATGAATCTCAATAGTTGGCATATAAACACTTATAACTGAATACCTTCTTTCAGTAAAGTGGGTAGTAATTCTTTTTTAATGTTTTTATGGAAAATGAGACAAATAAAATTTTCTTTAATGTAAAATAGTCCAGCTTATATCTTTTGCTATTTCAAACCCCAAAGTACCCAGACAGTCTCAGTTGTGCAAAAATAATAACATGATATCTTCAATTGCTCTAAAAATTAATGAAATGGTATTTTGAATTAGTGTTACTAATTTGGAAACTATATAAAATATAAGGTATGATCACATAGAATAATCTGAGTCAATATGAGAACTTTCTTTATTAATTACTAAATGAGGTAAAAATGGAATGTTAAATCATCATAAGGTTTGCTGAAGAATTTAATAACTTACTTCTCTCATTATCTCAATCTCATGGCTACAGAGGATCTAAGACTTTACCCAAAGTTTTAAATTCCATTGTCTCAGACGTCTCATTGCAACTTTCATCTCTGTGTTCCTCAATGTGTATATAATGGGGTTCAAGAGAGGAGTGACCACAGAGTAAAACACAGCAAGGAATTTATCTAATGACTTGATGGGAAAGGGCCAGGCATAAATAAAGATACAGGGCCCAAAAAACAAAAGAACCACTGAGATGTGAGCAGTCAGTGTGGACAGAGCCTTAGATGATCTATCAGAAGGGCGGCGCTGGATGGTCATTAGAATGATAGTGTAGGAGATGATTAGGAGAACAAAAGAACACACAGTGAGTATACCACTGTTGGCAACGACCATGATGTCTAACCTGTATGTGTCTGCACAGGCAAGTTTGATTACTCTAGGAAGGTCACAATAAAAGCTGTCAACCTTATTGGGACCACAAAAGGGTAAGTTGACTGCAAAGGCTAATTGACTCACTGAGTGTAGGAAGCCGATTCCCCATGCAGCAGCCACAATGCCAACACATACATTGCCACACATAATTGTAGTGTAGCGTAGAGGCTTACAAATTGCTACATATCTGTCAAAGGCCATGGCTATGAGGATCACCAGCTCACTCCCACCAAAGAAGTGAAGGAGAAATATCTGTGCAAGACATCCCTTGACAGAGATGACTTTGTGTTTGCTGAAAAAGTCAGCAATCATCTTGGGAGCTGTGACAGACGACAGAGACAGATCAATTAGTGAAAGGTTGGCTAATAGGAAGTACATAGGAGAGTGGAGGTGGGAATCAAAAGTCACTGTTATGACAATAAGAAGGTTACCAAACACAATTCCTACATAGAAAACAAAAAAGAGTGCAAATAGGAAGATCTGAAGTTCTTGAGAATCGGAGAGTCCAATAAAAATAAATTCAGTCACCACAGAATGATTTGTTTCCTTTGATGATTCATTCCAGAAGAGAGTTTCTGCACTTGCCTGGAAAAGACAATGAAAGGAAGTCAGAGTTGTTATATGCAAATCGACCCTGGGCTCACTCATTAAGAACTTGCCGCGAGCTCTTGCACAAAAGTTCCCAAACTAAAAATCACAACTCATAATTTATACTATGCTGCATCTTTGCTTCTCTTGTTCTTCAGGTAGCCAAGGCTCCCATGTCTCCATGGTTCTAGACTCCATCCTTACACAATGCTACTCTCGTTTCTGTTCTCTTTATCTGCATTCTTATCCTAGACTGACTTCCTTTTCCTCTGAAGGTCAAGACACTATGGTGTATAGAATACTCCTTATATTTTTAATGTTAAAATGGTTAGGATAAAAAAGAAATTTGCCAAAATGAAGCCAAAGGTAGAAAACATAAAGGATAAAAATACATGATTTAAAAAGAGCCTGTGACACAGCAGAGATGCATAATATAAAAGACAGATGGATATGATGAATAATGTCTTATGGGAGATATGAGGGCATAATGAGTTATATTTCTTCAATTTCTTGGGAGAATACTCTTATTTGTTTGGATATTTATTTCATCACAACCCATTGTGCTTAAATTTATGTTTATTTCTGTACTCTTCCAGATCTTTCTTTACCCCTGCCCAGTTATGAATGAAATTACTGTTTGCAAAGTCCTATGAAAGTTAGTGGCTCTATTTTTTGCAAACATAAGGACAGATAAAATTATAAAATAATTTATGAAACTTCTTTAAGTTCTTGTCATCTTTACCCAGTAAAATATAATTATCCCAGCACTGACAGTACTCAGGGATAGGTTTCCTATTGTGAGATACACTATGGTGTGATTAGTTCATTAAAGCCATTCTTTAGAATCACACTATGCAAATTAAAGTTGCTTTCAGTGTTTATTTGTTTTAAAATGTTGAAGCATTTTGTCTCACTGATAGAGAAGGAAAAATTCCAGGTTATATCTCCATGAGAAATATGCTTTGGATAAAGATGGTTCAAGGCTTCTCATAAAAAACCAAAATCTCTTATAGTAGAAAATAAGAATTTAAGAATGTTATTTTTCAGGAAAAAGGAATTTTGATGCCCACTATGGGTCATACCTTCAGAATTTATGTTGCTAAAAGGAGAATGCTAAAATGTAATATTAATCTATGGTCCTTTGACCAGCACAACCTCCTCCAAATTCATTTGGGACTCTGAAAAAGACTCAAGAAGTTTTATAAGTTGTAATGATTTTATTATCAAATTTGCATTGCTGAAGGGGTTCTTCTGCATATTACACACTGCTCATATTATAATATCTAAGGGACAAGTGTGATTAAAGAGAAAATACTTCTATCTCATTCTCTTTGAATTCAATCACCAAAATGTTGTGATTTTCATAAACAACGTTTACCTTGACTTTTTTCTCTCTTTCTTTCTCTTTAAAGAAAACATCTTTGTACTCTTAGGGATGGAAATCAAGGCTTTGGGTTTAAGCACAGATCCACTGCTTGATCCTGGATGTATTAAGAAAAAATTCTGGGCTTCATTTTTCTGTTTTCAAGCTGGTACAACCCAATTAATAATCATCAGATTTTCTACAGTTCTAACAATATATTTTGCAACTTCCTTGTGAGAGAAATATACAAAACTAGGTTTCACTGGGATTACATAAAAACAAACAAAACAACAACAACAAAACAAACAAACAAACAAAAACACACAGAGAAAAGAAAATGCTAGATTTTTGTGGGACAGAAGATTTGTATATAACCAATAAATAGGGAGGGAGGAATTTGTTAACTAAGTAAAATTAGTTTTATTGGGCAATAATTATTGTCACTGGAACACGCCTAACAAGCGTCATACTTTTAGTATCAACTCATGTTAATAATTTTAATTATTTAAGGCAACCCTACAGGGTTTTCCAAAGAAAAAAGCTTAACTGAATCCTAAACAATGAATTTCTACTGAGAGAAGCATTTAACTGCTAATCAAAATCTAACCTGCAGTTGCCTGTACTGGTGAATTTTCAATTTTGTCATTCCACTTACCTCTTTCATAACTAGAAGAGACAAGAGTAATTTTAAGAGAAAGAATAGTACAGAGTCCGTCATATACTTTTCTTCATTTGTTGGAGATTGGTTTTTATGTGACTTGTCCTGCTGAGCAAAGTAATTGGCTAATGATAAGCATCATGCGTTAACCAGAAGTCCTTGGAGGATCCAGAAACAGCCTGAGGTTGACCGGGGATAGCGACTCTTAGAGTGTCACAGGTTTCCCTTGGCCATTGGAGGAAACATGGTCTATTCCTGACTTAAGTGACATTGCCACAAGTACTTGGATTGTTAGATAATATTACCGACTCACTCAATCTAACTGTGATTGCCAAAAAAGCAAAATTAATAAACTAACATTCAGAAATTAAAATCTAGACATATTAATCAGGCAGTGAATGGTAATATTTAGATTTTGTGAGAAGAGCCTAGCTTAAGACACTGATGTCTAGTATGTGGAGGGCATAAAAAATTCCTTGACTAATATTAAAAGTCTCAGTTGTTATCAGTTCTATGGAGACCCACAGAGGTTTCCTGGTGAGAATTTACTCAAAGTCTGAGAATCTGAGCTTGCTTTACCCAGCAGGGTTGCATAAGGAGATGATTTGACCACAGGTGTGTTTACCAGGATCTACACTTGGCTGTATGGTGTACTTTGATCTAGCAACAGGGAGGATTTTTTTGCCTCTCCCGTGGCATGTTATAAAAAGCCTTTTGAATAAATCTTCGAGGCCAATGGGTAGTGATCCAGGCCCTCCTGAAGCTATCCTGTTTTTCTGTCCTTCTTCTCGTAAACCAGGTCTCTTTTTCTAGCTAATATTTTCTTATCCCTCTTTCATAAGAACCCTTCAAAAGATGGGAACTGCCTCCCACACAGTTTGTTTTATTTTGCAGTGTTAGTTAGCATAAAGACACTAAAATGAGCCGAGATAAACAACTAAGATTTTTAAATTCTGTCTAACTTCAGAAAATAAGTCTTCTGAAATACTTTACATTGTACATGCATTTTTGTAAATCACTAAATTATTTGAATAAGACTACCAGGGTAACAAATTTGTGTTGTTTTACAAGAGGAATATACAAAAGTATTGCATGCATCAAGTACTATAGTGTGTATCTAAAATGACAATTTACATAATACATTGTAAACTCAGCTGAAAGAACACATACAAGTTTTTATAGTGTTGCTTTTCCTACTATTTTAATCTTAATGTACACAAAACTATTTTCTCTTCAATTTATATATTTTATTCATTGGATTCGCATAATTTTTTTTGTTTCTCAGTGTATTTATTACCAAAAGGATGCAACATTGTTGAAGTTATTTTGTAAAGAAAAGGATTGGTGCACCTATGTGTTTGCATTCCTGTTTCTACAAGTATTTCAATTTTAAATTCTAATGTTTAGGAAAGCAGCTATCAGAAAAACCTTTGAGTTTTTTAAAAATTTTTAATTTTTAATTTTTTTATTATTTTTTATATGAGATTTTCTAGTCATTTAACATATCAGTCACGGATTCCTCTGTCCAGTACCAAGCTGCTTTTATTACCGTAGCTCTATAGTAGAGCTTGAAGTCAGGGATTGTGATGCCTCCAGAGGTTGTTTTATTGTACAGTATTCTTTTGGCTATCCTGGGTTCTCTGTTTTTCCATATGAAGTTGAGTATTGTTCTTTCCAGGTCTGTGAAGAATCGTGTTGGGATTTTGATGGGGATTGCATTGAATCTGTAGATTGCTTTTGGTAAGATTGCCATTTTTACTATGTTAATCCTAACTATCCATGAGCATGGGAAATCTTTACATTTTCTGACATCTTCTTCAATTTCTTTCTTCAGGGACTTAAAGTTCTTGTCATACAGGTCCCTTGTTTGCTTAGTTAGAGTTACCCCAAGGTATTTTATATCATTTGTGGCTATTGTAAAGGCTGATGGATCTCTGATTTCTTTCTCAGTCCGTTTGTCATTTATATATAGGAGGGATACTGATTTTTTTGAGTTAATCTTGTATCCTGCTACATTGCTGAAGGTGTTTATCTGCTTAGAAGTTCCTTGGTTGAATTTTTGAGGTCACTTATGTATACTATCATGGCATCTGCAAATAGTGAAAGCTTGACTTCTTCCTTTCCAATTTGTATCCCCTTAATCTCCTTATGTTGTCTTATTGCTCTTCCTAGAACTTCAAGTACTGTATTGAATAAATATGGGGAGAGCAGACAGCCTTGTCTTGTTCCTGATTTTAGTGGAATCTCTTTGAGTTTCTCTCCCTTCACTTTGATGTTGGCTGTTGGCTTGCTGTAAATTGCCTTTATTATGTTTAGGAATGTTCCATGTATTCCTGATCTTTCTAAGACCTTTATCATAAAGGAGTGTTGGATTTTGTCAAGTGTCTTTTCAGCATCTAGTGAGATGATCATGTGGTTTTTTTTTCTTTCAGTTTTTTTATATGGTGTATGTCATTGACAGACTTTCATATGGTGAATCAACCTTGCACCGCTGGGATGAAGCCTACTTGATCATGGTGGATAATTGTTTTGATGTGTTCTTGGAGTCTATTTGCCAATATTTTATTGAATATTTTTGTATCAAAGTTCATGAGGGAGATCGGTCTGTAGTTCTCTTTCTTTGTAGCATCTTTGTTAGGTTTAGGAATCAAGGTAATTGTAGCCTCATAGAAGGAGTTTGGTAATGTTCCTTCTGCTTCTATTGTGTGGAACAATTTAAAGAGTAGTGGTATTAACTCTTCTTTGAAGATCTGGTAGAATTCTGGCTTGAAACCATCTGGTCCTGGGCTTTTTTTGGTTGGGAGACTTCTAATGACTATTTCCTTAGGGGTTATTGGTCTATTTAAATTGTTTATCTGGACTTGATTTAACTTAGATATGTGGTACCTATCCAGAAAATTATCCACTTCTTTTAGATTTTCCAGTTTTGTGGAGTACAGGTTTTTGAAGTATGACCTGATGATTCTCTGGATTTCCTCATTGTCAGTTGTTATGTCTCCCTTTTCATTTCTGATTTTGCTAATTTATATCCTCTCTCTC